TATCTTTAGGGAGGGATTGAAGATAATGTAGATCTGTGTAAGGTAGAAGTGGAGAGTTAGCCTCATTTGGAGAATTAAGATTAGGATGCCAGAGACAATTGCATGCTTCGAAAGTTGAGGACTTTCAACGGTGACATTCATCGATAATAGCAGCAGTTTTTGGTGAAGAAGATTTAGATGTAGGGGAAGTGAGGTTGGGAGTTTAGTGAAGAGTTTGGCCTAGAGCAATTGGGATAGAGCCAAGTTTTTTACTGGGGGTGTAGTGGTGTATTTTTTCCACAGCTGAAGTACCAAACAATATCCTAGACTGTCATCTTGCGCGTTTGGATTAGCTCTTATATTATCTGCCTGTCTGCTAAAACTCCTTCACGATTCCTTCTTTATCCGTGACTTTATCATTGTTATCTTGTGAGGCTTAGAAGGACATGATGATGAAAAAATGCACTTAAAGAACTTACAGTGTCACATGTGAGAAGGACGCCATTCAATCTACTGACTTAAGGCTACCTCGACACCGTCCAAAGAGACGCGGATAACCTCCGGGGAAGTGCTTGATTATCAACCAGGAACACAAATTCTACGTAAGGGGTTCTTGTCTTAGCTAGTGAAGCTTATTCCGCAGTTACCAGGATCCCATTTTACAGCAATGCGCACATTCCTTCCAGTTCCAACATCTAGGGCAAATCGTGATTTTTTACCCAAATAGGGCACCAAAAGTTAGATTCCTCTCGTTGTAGCGGCATGAACTTTGATGCCATTTCTGGAAATACAAAAGGTTTCCCAGTAGGATACCTACGCCTCTTGACCAGACCATTTCAAATCATCCCGGCAAGAAACCGGAAAAGGAAGAAGCCATCATTTAACGAAAGAAGCGAACAAGACCTGTTAAGCTCCACGTTTTAAATGGCCCCAGATTAAAGCTTCGTTTAAAACGGCCTCACGCCGTCGAATAGCCGACCAACATAAATCCCAGTCTTCCCTTCCTATTGCTCAATTGTCGCATGAAAATGAATAACTCTGGCTTCTGAAAGGATGGTTGAGAAAAAGCAAGAGATTGAAGAACTGACCTCGAAGGGGAATACATGACTCCAGTCCTTACGGGGACGTGAAAGGCCCCTAGCCTGACCAGCAGCAGGACAGAGAGAGGAAGTTCAGAGTGAGAAGAGGGGTTCCATGAAGAAGAGGAGGAAAAAATCCTCCGGACAACGCCGGCAGCGAGAAAGAACGAGAGAGAGTCAGTGAGGAAGGCGGCTACGTAGGGCAAGAGAAAACCCTCGACTTCGACTAATAAATTTTCATCTTCATGATTTTTTTTGTTCTTTGAAGCTTTAATCCATACATTTCGAGATTGCTAGGATGCTATGTTTCAGCAAGGTGGCAGAGAGTATGGCTGTCATTGCTTGTTCCTATTTCAAGAATTGCAAAAAAAAATGGCATTTTTATCCTTTGTATTGTGGAAAACCCAATGAATGCACGCGAGGTGTTTGATCATTGGTGTATGATAGTTTTTTTTTTGGGACATTTAGGCCATTAAGTCAAAACATACACAATTGCATCACATAGATTGCCGAACCCTGACCTCTTATTTGAAAGCCTAAAAGCTCTCAACCAATAAGCCAAGCTAGAGCAATGATATAAAGAAAAGTTATATTGTTCATTTAAGGATTGCTTTGCGATGCTCAGTGATGAGTAGAGGCGACAGGAAGGTAGTTAGGGCATCTTCGAACGGAAACTATCATTTCCATGCAAAATCCGTGTGAATCTAAAAAATGTCATCATTCATCTCCAATGACCTCTATTTTTGCCCCCTTTTGCGAAGGTTGAACGTCATCGTTCTCTTCTTTCGCGTGTTTTCTCTGGACAAGTTTCGGATTATCCCAAAATGTAGGCGAACAGTTGCACGTCAATTAATTGGGCGCACACTGTTCACTGCAACCAAATAGCGAAATTTTATCGTTCAGCCTGGAGCCTCGCTAGCGACATCATACAAGCATTGGAGTTCCACGGTTGGAGATGCCCTTGCAAATGTTGAGTGTCACATTGTCACAGCTGTTCTGTGCTTAAGCAATTCGGCGTTGGCATGCGAAGAATACTTGCTAAGACTTTTTAGAGCATTGCGAGAATGAGAGCGAGAGACGAGAGGTATGAAGCTGATGAAATCTGGATTAACAAGCATGGCGCCAAAATGTGATTGTTATGCTTTTTTGACGCTGAAATGTTTCTGGTGATGCTTTTGCTCATTTCGTTCTTTTAATTATCCAAATTAAAAAATCATGACATTTAATTATTATAGTTTATCCACAACCTCTTAAAAGTTTGATCAAACAATTCTAAATAAAAATCTCATAAAAAAGAGTTTCTTACTAAATGTGAATTAATTATTTTTAATTATTTTGTAAAAATTTAAACCAAAATAATATATTTTAAATTTAAATTAAATGATTGAAGTTTTATTCATGTATTTTGTGCACTTGAAATTAATAATTAATAATTATAATTATATGTGATATGCTAAATTATATATTAAATAATAAAAATATAACTAAAATAATCAAAAAATATTAATAATGCAGAGGCAATAACTAGTACAACTAATAACTAATTATTTAAATAATATTCCTATTAATAATTAATCTTAAATTATTGTCAGTTTTATTATCAATATATATATATAACTATCTCATTAATTAATTTTAAAAATTCATTACTCATAATTATTAATTAATTATGCCTATTAATTTAATATAATAATACTATGTTAAATTATATTAATTAAGCTAATTATATACTTTAATACTTTAATATACTAGTAAATATTAAAAAAATAAATGAGAATGTTATTAAGCATTAATATTGCTACTAATTATTAATATTTAAAATTATATAATTAAGTAAATTTTAAAATAGCTAGAACGTCTAGGGTTTGCTCTCAACTTCTCGCTTTCGTGTTGGATGTTCGCTTGTTGCTTCTCAGTGTATAGATTGCACGAATCAACTTCTTCGGCTCCTTTCTGGATGCTCGACTTCGTCCTCGACCGAACATTCCCTTACATATCGGATCTGTGAAACCAGCAACTCCTGCCATCTCTCGCTTGGTTGGGAAGTAACCACGACTAGGAAGCTTGCTCTTGCTCGTTGCCAAAGGTAGCCATTTTCTTTCTTCTCGCGCTTCTTCGCCCCAATCCTATTTCTAATCCGCCGAACGACAGGATTTGGGATAGCGGATTTACGCCGTAATCCGAATTTGCGCAAGGCATACAGATTTATGCGACTAAAAAAACCGTTTGGACTGGATTTTAGGGCTGTTGGCAACAAGAGGGATTTAACCTAGTGGGATTAGTAAAATCCTGTAATTCGGATTTAGTAAACTGAAATGTGTTAAATCCTTAAAACTGTTGGGATGAAATGTTTAAATCTTGTTTAACATCCTTAGAAACTGTTCTGTAACAATTTCAGGATTATGACAGGTAGATTAATGTGAAAATATAATTATAAATAAAAAATAAATAATAATAAATAAAAAGAAATGTGTTATAAATTTAAAGGGAAAATTTATAAAAAAGGGCGCATTGTTTTAAATCATAAAATTAGCTTAAGGAGAATACTGACTTGAAACCGGAATTATTAATGGATTTCTTAGAAACCGTGATTTATATAGGTTCTTCTCAATTTCAGCAAATTAGAAACCGAGTCAATGAAGTTCTGGTTTCAGTAGAAAAATCGATAATTAAGTTCTTATTTGCTCCTTTTAAATTTATCGTCAGTAAAGCTCTTAAGCTAATTTAGATTTAAAACAGCGCTCCTTAAAATTGCCCTAAATTTAATAGCATATTAAGTACAAATTACTCAATTAATTATATAAACTTTAATTAAATATTTAATAAACATACATATTAAGTTATATTAATTAAGCTAATCGATTATATTTAATTACCAATTTTACAAATAAGTTAAATAGACAATAAATTTTATGCACTAATTATACAATAATTATTTACATTATAATATTTTAAAATATATTAATTAAGTTAATCAATATAACTTAGAGGCTCTAGGTTTCCTCATCTCTCTTTTAAGTCGTTGCTGTTAGCTTCTGTCTGCTTCGCAGGAGTGAGAAATGCATTGACGTCGCTTCTCTTCCTTCACGTGGCTGTTCAACTTCGCTCCTTCGACGTCTTTCCCTACCTGTCGGATCGGAAATTTCGACATTTTGATCGGTAGCAAGAACGGGACCTCGCTGGCTGTGAAGGTAACTTTCTCCCTTTCGCGCGCTTCTTAGGATAAATCCCGTTAAATCCGCCGAACAGAGGGATTTAGTAAATCCGGGATTTAAGCCGTAAATCTCTAAATCCGGGATTTAGGGAATCCCGGGATTTATCGAGCGCACAAAAACCGTTTGGTTGGATTTAGCGTAAATCCAACTTAAATCCGGGAATAAATCCGATACCAAACAGCCCCTTAGCGAAAATCCGACTTAAATTCCGCTGTAAATCCGATACCAAACAGCCTTGAAGTAGAGATTAGATTTAATGTCAGATTTAGCTTTGTATTTTTTGGCGTTTGGCAGGATTTAGCGTCAACTATTCCCAATGGCAGAAGATGATCGATCATTTGTGGACCACTATGCCGTTCTTGGGCTACCTTCTAGTGAGGAAGGAACAAAAATATCTCTCGAAGAGATCAAGAAAGCATATCGCAACCAATCTCGTATCCGCCATCCGGACAAGCGCCCCAATGATCCTAAAGCCACCGCAGATTTCCAGTTTCTGACAACTTCATTTGAGGTTCTCAGCAACGAGACGACGCGCTCATGTTTTGATGCGAAGCTCCGAACTCGGCGCGAACGTGTCCTCCGCGATTCGTTTCAGAATGCAAAGCGCCGGAAAATGGCCACTGATCTTGAGCAGAGGGAGCGGACTGTAGCTGTAGATCCTGCCGAGGAGGTCCGGCGGAAGGAAAAGATGAAGGCGGATGAGCTGAAAAGGGAGATTGCGGAGTTTAAAGCAAGGCGCATGAAGAAGGCCTTTGAGCCGGTAAGACTGTCCCGCATTCCTGTGTTTAGATATACTTGAAAAAGAATGTCTTTTTAATTTATTTTTAACCGTCTTTTTTAAAAAAAATGCCTTTTTAATTTGGGGGATTTACATAAAAAACTACTTTATTTCATAGTATTTTTTATATAATATTATATAAATATTTTTTATATAATATTTATTTAAAATTATTTTAAATATTATTGATTTAATTATTAATTAAGTATTTTCAAAAATTTTAAAATAAACTATTATACATAAATTTATTTTAATTTAAAAATTTTAGGCCATTTAATATAGTGAAATATTGGATAAAAATATTATTTTATTTAATTTTAATATATTCCAGCAAATTTTATTAGAATGATATGTAATATGATATTTAAAATTAATTTTAATATTTCAAAATTAAATTTCATTCTAATAAATTTGATGAAAATATATTAAAATTTAATAAAATATTAGTTTATATCCTATATTACATTAGGGTTTTTTTTAAGGAGCACGGACAATATACATCTTTAGCGTAGGAGCATGTGAGTTTTAAAATTTAAAACAGAGTGGACAAGCCAATCAAATTGGCGCATTCTAAAGAATGCATCAAATGATTTGATGTATTCTTTATAACGCGTCATACAATTTGGCGCATTCACCCTACATGCCTCCTAGTCAGCTGAACTGAATTTTGCAGAACTATAACAGTGCACCATACTCAAGAGCACATTCAGTGGAATGCGCCAAACAATTTTGCGCATTCCATTGAATGCGCCAAACTTTTGGTTTATTCTAAAAACGCCAAACAATTTGGTGCATTCAATGGAATGCACTATCCTGTTTGGCTAGCTTGATTTTTTTTTAAATTTTTTTTAATATCCTACTCCTACTCCTAATTTAAATTGAACACGTGCTCCTTAAAAAAATCTTATTGCATCTATATTAAATGGCCTAAAAATTTAAATTAAAATAAATTTATGTATAATGTTTATTTTAATTAAAATTTTTCTTTAAATACTTAATAAATTATATCAATAATATTTAAATAAAATTATTATATATTATTATATTATATATATATATAGTATTTTTATCTCATCCTTATATATATATATAACAATTTCTCCGTCATCTCTCTCTTACTCTTCCCATCCTCCTCTCCCCCTTATATATCTCTCTCTCTACCTATTCCTATTATTTTATTATTTTAAACTTAATGCACCAAATGATATGGGGTATTTAAAATGCGCCAAATCATTTGATTATTTTGCTTTTTTTATATATATATTATGTTCCTTTAACTAATTTTAACAAATAATTTGTTGTTTTTTTAAATTTGGCCGTTGCTAAAATGGATCACTCTTATTTATTCAATTGGTTTATTGGCAGCAGAACAGGAAAGAGAATGTAGAGGGAGGGAAGAAAGATTCAAGTTTGGATAAAGGGAGGATGCTGAAGGTCATTTGGGAGACAAGTGCTGGTGATTATAGTGCTGCCAAGCTACGAGAAATCTTTGAGAGGTTTGGCATAGTTGAAGATGTTGTGATCCGAACAAATAGTGTAAAGAAGAAGGCTTCAGCTATTATTGTAATGGCTTCCAAAGGTGCTACGGTAAGCTCTTTTTTATTTTGTATTATATATATAAGCTGATCAATGAAAGAAACTTGTCATCTGCATCTTTACATTCTAATATGCAATTTGATGGTTAAGATTGAAGCTTATTTTTTCTCGTTCATCAGGTGAGAGCTATACAAAGTATGAGTGGTGGCACAACAAATCCGTTGCTTGTTCTTCCACTGGAGCCCATTGCACCTAGCTTTTCAAGTTCTTCATCTACAAATCAGAACGAGAGCATGGGCCCTGAATTTAATAATGTTGTCGGAGCTGGCTTTCAAAACTATGAGGAGTTTGTAATGAAGAAACTTCAGGAGGTAGATATTCATTTTCTCAGGATTGATCTACTTTAATGCATATTATTGCGTTCATGTCATGCTATATATTGCACTCGCAAGTCGTCATAAGATTTCTCATCACTCCTTTTAGTTATCTTTCCTTCATTACAAACTCATTTAAATGAATGTAGGCCAAAATTCATGATAATACTTTATTTTGTAAAAGTTGATGCCTTATTTATTATTATTTTTTCTAATTATGCGAGCATGTCTTTCCACTTTATTGTTCTGACTTGAGGTTCTGGTGCTAGAACATGTTTTTCTCTGTTAGCTTAGTGGAACTGTGGAAGTAGGCTAATGTCTTTCCACTTCATTATTTTTTCTAATTACTATTATCTTATGCAGGCATCTCATTTATGCTGTGGCACGCCAAACAAACCCTTGTTAACACATAAAACACTTAGTGAATATATGTAGACTTGGACCTAAATATTTATTGTTTGTATATGCCAACTATTGTTGTTTGATGGTTTGAGCTTTTGATTCCCTGTTAATTAAATTTGTCATTTTTCTCTTCGTGGCCTCTGCAGTTTTTTAAATGAATGGTTCTTCTATGGTTGCAGGCTTATGAAAAGAACAAATGCGTGTGATGTACAAGCGAATTATTTACCACAATGGGAAAATACTGGTACATAAAGCACTTCATATCTTCAGGGGAAGCATTTACATACTTTTTGGTTATTATGTATCCATCTATTGATTCACGAGAGATCTTTACTCTGATCTTCGTAACATTTTTATTGAATAGTTTTTATGTTCTTAGGATATTGTATCATGATTCACCATTGCCTGGCAAGGCTTATGTGAATGTATTCATGTCTGATGTGCCTGTCAAGAATTGCCTGAGCTCTGTGGCTCAATAACATAACATGCTTTGTAAAGGTTCATCATATTTTCTGCTTAAAGACCGGATAACCAAATTAAGCATGCAAAATTGAGTTGTCTGTGCTGAACCAGATGGTTATATTTCATTACAAATTTTACCACTCCACTCTTATCTGTTGAAATTTTAAGTAATAGTTTATTTTTCATGTTGTTGATTCTTTAAGATGATAATGATGTGATGTTTATGATCTTTCATAGCCGTATATCAGTATATCTAAATCCAATATATACAAGTTCATCTGCATTATAGCCTCATTTTATCCATGATAGCTTTCTTTTTGGTGCCTGATAGAGTTGCTTGCCACTCAAATAGTTCTCATGTTTAATTGACTCTTATGGGAGTAGAAAAGTTTTAGTGAGCTTGGATGAAATTGTTCCTCAACTGCCCTATGTAATATACTCAATTTTTACCTTTTTCATTGTTGCCAATGTTGTATTTAGTTTTATGTTTTTTGAACTTTATCTTGTTATCTCATTAAAATTAAACAACGTAGGGAATACTTTGATGTTCCCTTTTATCGGATTGATTAGAAAATTCCTGCCTGTCAGTTCCTTACAAGTTGTTATTGCTTTTTCCCTTATTTTTTAGTGATTGTAGAAAATAACACATTATATTTAAGATTGATGCTCCTTTCACCTGTAAATTCAGCGATAGTCAATACCCATAGACATGGCATGCCACATAAACAAAATCTTCACAGTTTAGGAGGCATCTCTATTTTATTGTGCTTTCAAAATATGAAAAGTGGATGCCAAATAAGTTTTAGTTTTGACTGGGGCGAACTTTTTGCGTGTGAGAAGTTTTGTTCTATAAGAGTAGATTACCTGCACTCTAGAAATTCTCCATGAAAAGTTTTGTTGACAATCAGTCCTTTGATGTTCCATGAAAATAACAGGTGGAAACCATCTGTAGATAAATGACAGAAGAGATAATATTTCTACGGTTTCATCATTAGGATCTTATGCTATATTAGGTGACATTTGCGCCCCAAGAGAATGTTTTCAATGATATGTGGAAGAAAGAAGAAGTTTAAGTCCCCCTTGCAATGAGGATTACATGGTTGACTATGTCAAATGCCCCTAAATCAAATGGTTCACAACCATCCCTTTTGGATGATGCTAAACCAACACCTCAATCAAATCCCTTGTTTCCTGACATCAACTGTTGACGCAGTTGAATTTCCTCACAAATTCATCAACGCTCCACTATGCAAATAAGTGCAAATACAACAATCCCTCAATCTTCCCAAAATGTTGATAACCTAAAACACCATAATAAAAATGATTCCATATTTCCTTTTGCTACACCAAATCCTATTCAAGCGATAGCCTATCCCAGTCCTACCTTCCTGAGCCCCACATATAAAATTAATCCCCCTAGCAAACTCACCAATGACCCAGCCAAACTAACTCGATAATATATAGTTAGGAGAGGTAGGCTAAATGCCCCCTAATTGCAATCTCACTAGCAATGTAAATCATGCTTATACCTAATAGGTTGCTCTAGCAATTCACTGCTCAATCTCATGCTACATCAATAATACATTTGTGTATAAATTTTTTGTGTATTATGAATTGCAACCTTACTGCTCAACCTCATGCTCTAGCAATTCACTGGCCAAACTAACTCGATAATAATTTAAATATGTTTATATTTGTGTATAAGATATTTTTTATATTAATTTTTTAGTGCACGAGCAAGAATGGTGACTATAACAAGGATGGCAGATGTAGGGGTGAGGTGGGTGGTGTTTGTGCTGATGCAGGGACATTTGAGGGCCCCAAATTGTCGTAAGAATGAGATATCGAAGCTAGTTGGTTAAAGGAATGAGATTGGTGGTGGGGATGGAGTCAACATTGGACGATCATGAGAAGGAGATTGAGGTATTGGAGGATTATGGGCCACCGAGAATGAGGTCATCACGTGAAGTTGGGAGTCAACTGCATGCGGTGAGAATGATGTATTATGAATTCGCTTGATTTGAAGTTAGAGATTACATAAAAAATTGTTTAGAGGGGCATTCCAAATTCTGCAAAATAATATTTGCCTTTATTTTATACTAAGTCAAATATCTAAAAATTTAAAGCCTCTTTATTTGAAATATGATAAACCCATAATACATTCAAGTGAATAAAGCTCTTATTCAGCTTTGTTATCTAGAGTTGGCAATACATCCATAATAGACTCGGTAGCGTCTTGTGAGCCCATTATAATTGCCCGGAGCTTTTATGATTCCCAACTTACCCATGAGAATGCCAACTATAAATTCTAATTGGTGTTGACCTTTACATACATGTCAAATCCAATGCAAGTGGCTTCCATGTCACCTAAATCTTTATTAAATCTCTCAAAAGGTAGCAGCTGCCACATCACCCAAAACTTTCTAGTATCCTGCTCAAATCATGTTGTACCAGCCCCCAAAATCTGCCCTTATCCTGCTCAAATCCTGCTGTACCAGCCCCCAAAATCTGCCCTTATCCTGCTCAAATCCTGCTGTACCAGCAGCCCACATCCTGCCAAAAATCTCTGTCAAATCCATCAAAACTGCAGCTGCCCTGTCAAAGCTCTGCTCCATACCTACAGCAGCCACCTGTTTTTGTTAGGCAAGTGGAAATAAAAATAAATAAATAAGGGCTTATCATGTGCTCCTAACTGATCCCTCTCATCTCTATATATACACACACAAGCCCCCACTCCCATTGGCTTGGTTCCTGCAGCTCTCCACGTAAAGCTCCCCACTGCCAGCAGCACCTCCACCTTCCATCCCATTCTCCCCTTTCTTCTTCAGCAAAACTACTCCACAACACCACAGCTGCAAGCCTCAAGCTTCCCTTACCTCACACACGAAGCAAATTTTGGGGGAAACCTGTAGGTGTTTAAAGGTAAAACCCATAGCTCACCACCTCCAACAACATGTGCAAGAAACCTCTTCTTTCTTCACGTGCAAAGCTTCATCCCATAGCCTATTACATGCAACCCACTCATCCCAACAGCCCACTTCATCATTTCAGCCCATAAAGAGCCCCCATTGCATTCTCAAAACAGTCCAAAATCACTTTAGACCAGCCCACTACAATCTTAAACCCTTTACCTCACCAAATCAGCCCAAAACTATCTCCAAACAGCAGTTTTTACACCCAAATCCAGTGCAAACTGAGCCCAACAGCACTCAACAATCATTTGACCCCTCAAAATAAGCTCCTTGTACTCACAGATCCACTCAAGATGCCCAACTCCACATCATAACTCCTACCTCAAAACAATCCAAATCAGCCCAATTACAACCTTTTTTTTTTGTTAACATTCAAGACAGCCCCTTTTCTTTTGTCATTGTTCTTATTTAATTTAGTTTGTTTTATTTTAATCTTATATACTTTATTTCTTTTTATTTCCTGCACTAGTCATCATTACTAATTAGTATATTAGCTGACATTGTTGACTATTGTATTCATTGGCAATCATATTTCCATATATATATATAAGCACATATATATGCATAAAAAAGAGAGAGAGAAAAAAGAAAAGATGTGGAAGAGAAAAGAGATTTAAAAAAAAAAAGAGAAAGAAAAAGAAGAAAACAAAAGAAAAAGGAAGAGAAAGAAAAGAAAAGAGATTTAACCAGAAGGAGAAAAGAAAAGAGAAAGTATTTATGCATTTTGTACATTTCTTTTGCCACTTCGCCGTCGACCCCAAAGGTATAATATCCAAAATTCAGATTTCCCATTCTCGTTGTTCGTAGCAGACCGGGGAATCACCTATACGCGCTCTCGTAGCACGGTAGAGGAAACCTAGTGCGACGCCTACAATGAGGCGGGTAATTACCTAAAACTCATATTCCCATTTCGGTGTTTGCTGCGGGCCGGCGAACCACCTATACGCGCTCTCGTAGCACGGTAGGAGGGAGCCCGGTGCGACGCATACAACGAAGTGGGAATGCCCTATACACGCTCTTGTAGCGTGGTAGGGAGATCTACCTGTGCTCGCCTACGGATACTGTTGAAGACCTCATACACGCTCGAGTAGCGTGGTGGGATGGAAAAAAATGTACGGCCCGGTGTTCCCCAACACCTACCATACACGCTCGAGTAACATGGTGGGATGGCCCAGTCTCTCAGATTTTCACCTAAACAGGGGAGACGCCGGGAGGCTGCCGAAATTTCGGGTGAATGTACGACCGAACTCAAACCTGTTTTAACTCAAAGAGAACAAATATTTGGACACATTTGAACAACCAAGGACTTGGAACTACGCTCAGAACTCAAATCAAATGAACTACATGTACTTGAACTTAAATTTAAACTTGATTTATACATCAAGTGGATTCTTGAACTTGCAAAATGAAATTTAACCTGAGCTTGGAACTCAAATGAAAATGAACTTGGTGCAAAGAACTTGAACCGAACAAGACTATGGAAGACTTGGATAAAACTTGCACATTGATTTGAACAT